ATAATAAAAATAAAGTTTTATTTTTTAAACAATATATAATGAAATAGAACAAATCCAAATTAAAAATAAGTGTTCAATATTAAATAAATAAAATATAATAATAAAAATAAAGTTTTATGCTATAATTTCTCAGTGTAGCTAAAATTTCTAAGCTCTTCTAAATTGTGTTTTGGCCGAAACTTTTGTTTTAATTGCTAAAATTTCCTTTCTTATATTGCTTCCTCTTGGTTTTCTTTGTATGCTAGGAATACATGCAAAAAAAAAAAAACTCAAAAGAAAAATCGTATTCTACCACATTAAGTCTTTGCGGGAGTTGAAATTCCTTTAAAGTATAGATTCTAATTCTGTAATAAATTAAAATCATATTATAAATTCTTGTAGCTCAAATTCATGTATAAGTTTAGAGTCTAAATAATTCTTATTTAATCTCACTTTTTTTATTTAAAATTAACTCATTATAGATTTAAATTGATTTGGTTGAAAATAACCAAGAAAAAATATTTTGTTGAAGAATATGTTAAAATAATATTAATAATTTCAATCAATTTAAATAATATATTTTTAAACTCTGATTAATTTGAAATTTTATTATAATATTATTTTATATATTTTAAATATTTTTATAAAATTTCAGCTTAATTTGTTATATAATTTAAAAGATAAAGCACAATATCACAAGAGTGGTAGGCATTTTGAAAGTAAAATTCAAACCTAATTGCAACACCTTGTGATATTGCGGGTGACCCTACCACCGTGCTTAACACCCATTCTGAGAAAGAATTTTCAACCATGAACCCAAAAGCTCGAAATTTAGAAAGATATAGATAGATAGATGCAGGGGCAGATAAAAATGCTCACAGACAGGATTTCTAACATATCCCAATTCCCATGGTTTTTCAGTATTTTTTTTTTTTTTGTAACTGTAGACGCCCAGTTCCTAGTAACTGACAGGGGAATTGAGGCCAGAATTGAAGGAAACCATGACTAATCTTCATCAACTTGTTTCATAGTCTAATATATAGCCGATTAGTAGTTCCATTCGTATTGGCTAGTGGCAAAAAATTACACAGATTCCTTGCAAGCATCCACGCTAACAAATCACCATAATAGGTTTTCCAGATTGCAGCGAACACTGTTACTCAAGGAAGTTTTTTCCGTGTTCCAAATGATTGTCTTTTAGTATTTCAGCTAACATGTAAAAATAACAGCCTAACACTATCATAACCTGTGAGTATTTTCTGTGCTCTAAACTGCTTATTCTCAAAATATTAGAGTCCACATAACTTCAATAGAACTGAATTCAACGGCTCTCAACGAAATCAATTGACACAACTGATCTAATCAACAGAGGCAGTCATCTAAGACACCATGTTTAACTCCATGAAGTTCATACCATTGAAATCCCAAAAAGACCCTCTCAGAAATTTTAGTTGCCAGTGTCATTGACGTGCTGAACAAAATTCCGAAGCAAACAGCCATACCACAAAGTTAACCAAAACTGCAGCTCATTTCAATTATAATTTCATATTGGACGATAAAATAATTAAAACACAAAACATCAAGCAAACAAACCCAGGGCACTGCCAGGATTTTATTAATCCTCCCAATAAATAATAATAAATAAATAAAAAGGTTCAGTCAGAAAACCGGAACACGTCAAATTCCACGATCTTAAAGTCATATATAAGCATCTAATACCAACCATGTCTTGTCCGACTCTGTATATCTCAACGGCTTCAGGATTGGAAGACCACTTTATGCAGTGAAATCTTCAGACGGTTGGAAGAAAAAGGTATACATATAAATGTCTAACTCTAAATATAACGTGTGACAAATGGGAATAATCATAAGGACACCCCTGCGACCAAAAATAGAGCAATAGTAGACGTTGCATGAGCTTCAGCATCCTGCAAATGGCATTCACCCTCCCCCTCATGTAGACACACATCAAGCATGTACTTTGTGCCATCAGTCAAAAATCATGTTTTTCTCCTGGAGTTGGGAGGTAATCTGACCCCAAAGATTTTTAAAAAGTAGCTGAGGGGCAGTATGGGGAAGTAAAACCAAAATCCCCCCCTGTTAAAAACAGCAACATCATGCCACAACAAATAATTATGGCATAAAAAGGAACACCCCCATAAAAACATGCATACCAATGAACTCATGCTACCAGCTCAAAGTCATAAAGAGTTTCTTAGTTTTTTTCTCCCTTTATCCCCATCTAATTTGCTTCCTATTTTCCACAAAGGAAACTTTGTTCACTGTGCCAAGGCAAGACCCGCTACCTTCAACAAAAATGCAGGGTATTCTTCCCCTCAGTCCCCATCTTCCTCCATGAGTCTATTCAAGTAAAATGCTTGATCCACATTTCACTTTAATTTCTTGCTGAACTGGGAAGATTCAAACCTCCATGAAACCTTATTTCATCTATTCCTTTGCTGCTAGATAGCTGTGACTGGCTATTCAAATCCCCAGGCAATGATCTACCAAGAAAAGCTTCAGAATGAATATCTACTTGACTCCTTGCTTTGATGTGGCCAGTAGTCATCTCCTGCGAAGAGATGTCTTGGACATGGGCTGCCAGCATGTCATGTCCAGACTTCTCACCATACTAAGGGCTTGAAACATTAGGAAGCTGAACAGTAGTTGTCATGATCCACTTCATCCAATGATTTCGCTTCCTTACCTTCTCACCCTAAAACACAAGGAACAGGAAAATGGAATTAGAGAAGCTACAGCATACACCACATTATTAAAATGTGATAAACTTGGCATGTGCATCTGAGTAGGCTTCTACATTTAAAAGGGTTTGGAATTGAGGACCAGAAACTAGTGAGGATCTGAAAGAACAAAAACATTAGCTTGTAACTAGCAAATTTCAACAATAGCAGATATCAATGAAGTACAGAAAAAGTCACCTGCACTTCGACGACACTAGAAGTTCTTATAGCATCCAGTATAACATGGATATTGTCAGTCAAAAGAGAAACCTGAACCATAAGCCACAGGAAGATAGTGTCTTCATGTTAATAGCATATGAAATACAGTAGCAAAATCAAGTCACTGTGAGTTGCACATCAATTAATAAATCATTCATCAATTTCTTTCGACGTCTTGAATGGGGTAAAACTCAAAATCTGTATACTCCCTACTAATTAAATAAATGCAGCTTTAAGACAAGATTTCTTGTTTAGCATTTCATTTTATAGCTGCACACACAAGCATTCAAAGATAGGAAACAACCGAACAGTGCACATGCTGACAAGCTTGACATAACAATAGAGATATCAGAAACCCTCAAAAGTAATTTAAAAGACAACATACGAGAACAACGAAGGAAACACAGTATGTAGTCCTGACCTAAATCCCAATAGATCCAATGCTCATGGAAGCAATCACAGCATTGCATGGAATAAATATTCATGTTTATTTCACAATATATGACTAAATCTGAAAGTGCCATCATGAAGAATGCTATTAAATCAAGTAAGAAAACCATCACTCCTAAAGACTAAACTTATATCGTCAACATCCCAATGAAAACAGATTTTCATTTAACATCATCTTAAGCACTGAACTGACAATTGGTACTAATTAGGCATGAACCTAAGCAGCAAATAACTACTTCAATCACAAATTATGGGCATTAAAATTTATATCCTGATAATGCAGAAACTCAGAGAAAGAAACACATGTATAGCAATGGAAAACTTTGCAATTAAATCTGCATTGCTTCTGTAAGATATTACATTAAGAAATGTAAATAAATCAAAGTCAATATGATATTGCATATAAGGTGTAACAAATCAAAAATACATTTTTATCAACTAACTGACAAATGAATCTTCATTACAACATATCCCAAGTCAACAGCCAAAAAATGAGAAACAAATGTAATCGCCATTGCTATAGACAAGAAGGTTTTGGATACACATCCAATAATCAAGCTCTATTTATCTAGACAAAATTAATTAACTAACAGACATTTCTCTGGTTGATTGCATCAAGTACATGCACACCTTGCTCACTATCATTGACAGCATCAATTCAGAAAATACAGAATAATAAGGTGGGCCTCCATGCAAAAGTATGATTGCTCTATTGTAACCTGAAGGCTATGAGCTCAATTTGCAACAACCACCCTGCAGAGACGGGGAGAAGCACTGTATATGACTCTCACCAAACCCTCCCACAATGCAAAGTCCTCATGTACTGAAGCACTCATATTTTGGAAAAAGAGAGAAGATTATGTGCAAAAAGAAAAATCATTACTGTATAGTTCCATTGTTGGGGTTATTTATCACCGAAAATTTCCATCATTGCAGAGACACCAATGTACTTACAAGTTGATGAATATAAAGATGTCTTTTCCATTTGATGCAGATGACAGGGGGAAAAAAGCAAAATTATAGTATTATTTTAGTATTTTGATATATACCAGTGTTGTCGATGGCAAAAGACATCATGCCTGTAAAATGCCCGAGGTGCTAGGCACTCGCCTGAATGAACCAAGGCAATATGCTATAAATTAAAAAATATATATATGTAATATTATATTATATAAATCTAAAATATATATCTTTCCAATTAAGATTAGATCAATAGAAAATCAAAAGAAAATATAAAATACCATAACATAGTAATATAAAGTTATATTTTTCACCCTTAAAACAAAATAAGATAATTCTATGGAGTAAGTAGCCAAATAGATTAAAAAGTAAAACTAAATATCATCATCGATATTCATAAAATTTGTGGCTGGTGTTTCTCTTCTAAGGGTCTATTTGGAATTGTGGTAGCGATGGTGGTTCAAAGTATTTTTCGCTTTGAAATGCATCAAAACAATGTTTTTTTGTTTTTTTAAATCATTTTTGACATCAACACACCTTAAAACATAAAAAAATTATTTTTAGCAAAACAAATTCAAAATTTTTGGAAACACGCCCAAACAGAGCCTAAGTGTCATTCATTGTCTATTTGTCTCCCACTTTAATGATTTAAAAAAAAAATTACCCTAATCTTTGTTTTCTACCAAAAAAACCCTAAGTTGTTTCTTGTGGTAAATTAAAAAAATGGGCAAACAGGCCATAACATAAATAAGTTAAAAAAAAAATCCAACAAAAATTTATGAAATTCAAGCAAACACTAGCCTTAACACCTTGCACCCACTCAAAAGCTGCTCGCCTAGGTAGCACTTCATTGAAATTCAACACCTGAGGCTAATAAAGGTGTTGGGGCCTCACCTGGAGCACCTAGGCAAGCACATCAATGCCTTTTGACAACACTGGTATATACTTTTGTAACTTCCAAACATGCTTGAAATTTTCTAGGACGTTGTTTTTATTATATGTTTTAGTCCATTCATAGTCCTTAATTAAGTAGGTTTTTCCTATATAGGAATCTAAGTCCCTGTTGAACTTGGAGTACTAGGAACTCTATATAAAAGCATGTAATCATTCATCGGAGAATTTGAGTTTATGAACAAATTTTTCACCTATATGCTTTATGGTTGTATGAAATAATCATCTTAGTGATAACTCCTAAGAACCTTTAGTACATTTTAGTCCTCCTAAGTGTGACTCTTAGAAAACCTACAAAGGTGCCACTAGCAAACCTATTGCTTTCAGCAATCAAACCCCATATATCCCTTATATTTCTTTAGTTTCAATTTATAAACTCCCAAATCCTTTCTTCTTAAATTTAAACCTTTAAATCCCTATCTTCCATGCCCTAATCCACCACAAAATCTTAGTAAGACATAAATCACAAAAAGTTGTCCTGCATCATCATTCATCCATCCTAGTGAAATTTCAGTGGAAATTAATTTGACATTCCTACAAGATACTTTGACATATTATCTAATTCATATCTGCGTACATCTGGATTTTCAGCTAATAGTAACTCATGGCCCACAACATTGGTACTTAATCAATAATATAATAGCAAAACCAAGGGAAAAAAAGGACCAACCATGCAGCACGTACAAGATCAAACATAAATCTTAAACAATATCAACTCTCAGAAGAGAATAGATAACAGAATAATATTAGGAAAACCAATTAATCAGCTACGAAGTACATATTCTAATAGTTCTTCTCAACCTGTAAATGCAGAAAAAAGAACAGGAGAGAAAACAAAGTTGGAACACCGTATGTAAACAACCATGACACTGAAAAGAACATAATCCAGACTCCTAAAGAATCATAACTACTAATGCAAAGAGCATGTCTACAAAAACAGAAAAAAGGCACATTTATACTCCAAAACATGGCATGAAAATCACACAAGAAAAAAATACTTCATTGGAATAAAAGAAGTTTCTAGAAACAACTTCAAGCTTTAGCTTATTCAATGTGATAACAATCATTGATAAAAAAAGACATGACCTTAATATGCATGCTCTAGTTAATACGCATCAAAATCCTCGTCTGAAATGCTAGCAGTAAAAACCTTACACCGCTATTAACTGTCAGTCTGTCACAACAGAAACCAAGATATCCAAAATGAAAAAAATAAAAATAAAGAGCATATTTGGATAATTAGGAAGCATTTATCAAGCATAGCTATAAACACGAGAGAAAAATTCATCATATAAATAAATAAATAAATACCATGACTACCCAAAAAAAACTCACTTTGTTGAAGCTTGCTATTAATTTAATAGGCACCCAACCTTGATCATCCATGTTCCTCCGCAAGTATATATCTTTGACTAGATTTTCATTACTGCAACAAACATTTTTGAGGAGCAATTTTAGTTAACTTCCCATTAAACTTCATTGTCCAGACACAAATAAACTACAGGAACATGTGTACAAAAGCAAAATACCAAAGATATAAAAAAGCAGAAAACCAAAGAAGCACCTGAAATAATAATCTATCTGATGCAATATCCTAATGTGCAACTGAGGATCTGAAGGGAAAAAAACAGTATGAGTTGGTACTGGAGCTGCAATAATAGGCACACCTCTCATAGAACCTGGATGTGGAGAAACATAATACAACGGCAATCCCATATCTGGAAACAGATTGGGATATTAGAGCAGACCCATGTATTAGCCACAACAGAACTGTAAACAGATGTGGTTTACCAGGGAAACCCACAAGGCCAAAAGGCCGCACTGGTGGGGGAGCAATAAAGGGAGAGGTAGCAGGTGTTGGTGGAGGCGGTGGTTGATGCCTCATATGCCTTGGGGCAACTCTTGGTAATGGCTGCATGTGACCATCCCTGCTAAAATTTGGATGAGCATTCCAATCATGATTTGCAAGATCTAGATCATTTCGCCTGCCACCATAACCGTGATGGTGAGAACCATCTCCTCGAGAATGTAGCCCACCATTACAGTTCCTAAATGAAGTGCGCTGCTGTTGAGGATGATCATTAGAGCCACGGGATTGGGAACTCTTTTGTGCATGATCCCTAGAAGAAGAGTTATTTAAATGTCCTTCCCCTGCTGCGCTCTGTGATCCTGGTGAATGAGTGCCACCATTAGAAGCTGTGTTAACACCTTTACACTTCATTGATTTCTGGCGTGCTGGTACTGCATTATTTGGAGTTGAATTAGGGTTTGCAGTATTGTTAACTTGTTTCTGTGAAGATGAGGATGCAGTCTCAGTTCCCTACATTAAATAAACAACATATATTAAACATGCACCCATGTATGAGCAATCTGGTAATTGAAATGAGTAAGCATTAAGCATGGAAACCCTTCATTTCATTGCTGAATTCAGAGAGAACCACGAGTCTTCCATTTACTTTTTTAGTTACGAAGGAAGAAAACCCACTCATTCATATTAAGTTTATAAATCAATAACCCCAAGTTGATTGAGAAATATCCAAGTTCGTCCTCGGCTAGTTTGGGATTAATGCTTAGTTGTTGTAGCTATTGCTTTGGTATCTACAAATTCAACAATGCAGCAAAATTAAGATGACTAATCAGGCACCTAAAAACTCTCTCCTGAGTGTTAACTTTCTTTCCAAGAATTTATACTACGCTAAAAAAAAGACAGATAATCCTATCATTCCCACTTATCCCATTTGATTAACATTTAGATAACCAAATACGCCCTGTTTCGATTAAGTTTCCCAGAACCTGCAAAATTGAGACAGGATGATCAATCAGATAAACCGTACTTTGATGTTTGTTTTTTCTACCCACTATACCAAAATTTTAAGCAAGCAAATCCAATAATACATTTTTTGTCCCCATCCTTTCCCAAAATAGCCAAGCTAATTTTAAGGGGGGAAAAAAGAAAAAGAAAAGGAGAGAAATTTTCTTGTTTCAGTTGATACAGCTGAATTAAGAGAGATTAACTGGTACACTCCCATTTTACAATAGTTTTGTTTATAAAACTTAATACACTATGTTAATCTTAGTAGACAACTAATAAATATAAGAAAAACAATATATCTTGCATCCATGCCAAGAATTCAAGAAAATACCCCAATACATTTTTCATCTTTCACTCTTTTCTTAGAACTATATATATATATATTTTTTTGTTGTGTTTTGGACCCTACAAATTGAAATGCATCGATTAATATAAACAAGTGAATAGCAAAAGAAAAAACGGTCACTTTACATAAATGTTCTTTTTGAAACTTTACACTCTAATCTCAACTACATTATCAAAAAGATTTTACCATACGATCAAAACAAATAAAATCAAAATATTGCATTCAATCAACTAATACAAAAATAAAATGCATTAAATTAACAAATATTCCATTTTATCGACCAAATGAAATAAAATTAATCTCTATCAAACCTGGGAAACAGAGACGGAAGATGATGATCCATCAAATAATAAACCTTTCAAAGAATCCGCAGATGATTTTGTCAAAGAAGAAACCCTAGCAGCTGACTCAGATAAATCAGGCCAGGAATCAGCCCCCATAACACTCCCAATCTCTACAAGACCATTACCAGCCGTAGATGGCTTGTTCCATACCGGTCTCTTGCTCACATTATTCTCACTCTCCACACTCTCTTTCTCCGCCACGAAAACTGCAGCCGCTTGCTCCGCCTCCGTTGAAGCATTAGAAGAAGATTCCGATTCAACACCACGCACGATTCGTGTCCATGGAGGAGAAACTTGCTTACCGGATCCCCGCTGCGATTGGGGACTGCCCACCTGATTGCTGTTGCTGATGCTATTGGCGGCGATTGTATGGCGAGGAGAGTGATCGGCTGCGGTGCTGGTGATCGTGTTCGAGTTAGTGAGGGTTGCCATGAATTAAATTACTAAAAAACCAAAGAGTTAGGGTTTGTTTGTTACTGTTAGTGATCAAGTTTTTGTTGCTGGTCCACTGAGAGTGGCAAAAAGGAATTAGATTTGTGAAAAAAATTGATAGGGGGAGAGAGAGAAATTAGGGTTTCGATTTTTTCTGATCAGGTGAGAGAGTGAGATTTTTGTTAAAAAAATTTGGAGATGAAATTAGACAGATCGAAGTGCGACAGTGGTGTTTCTCTCTCTCTGTTTTTCCTTTTTTTTTTTTTTTTTTTACCAAATTATACCGTACTTTAAAAAGGGTTGAAAAACATTATTACCAAATTATACTGTACTTTAAAAAGGGTTGAAAAACATTATTCAATATTGTGTACAACTGTACATTAACTCGTTATATGTGGATTACATGCTATTGAATTTGGTTGAGTAGCCGTACGGAACGTTATTGGGTTTAACTTTGCCGCCATTAAATTATTTTTTATTATTTTTATATACTTTTTTTATTTATTTTTTATATGATAAAATAAATAAATTGATGTGAATTTTTTCATGCTATATAAAAGTTAGGTGATGATATTTTTTTTTAAGTTGAGCTAAACTTTTTTATTAAAATATATGTTTATTTTTTTATTTCAAAAATATTTTAAAAAAATTAAAAAAAATTATATATTTAATTGAAATTAGTATTTTTTTTATATTTGTGTATTATTTTGATATGATGATATAAGAATCAATATTAAAACATATTATCTGGATAAAGTTTTAAAAAATATATTTTAAAAATAATTATTATATAATAATATAATAACTAGCATATTAACCCGCATTCTGCGGCAAGTAAAAAAAAAAATGTAATAATGCTTAAGTTAGATTAAAAATTCTGTTTACACCATTACTATCTTCAAATAAAGTATTTTCTATAGTAGCATCTTAAATAGCGTATAGCAGAGTAACACCCAATACACCAGTAATAAATTTCATTTCCTTTAAAAAATTTTCTTTTAAGATATTTTCAATTTTATTTTTTTATCTTCTTTAAAAAAAATTTCTTTTCTCTTATTGAATTTTTTTCGTACTATTAAAAGGAAATAAATTGATGTGACTTTTTTATATTGTATAAAAATTGGGTGATATTTTTTTTTCATTTCAGGTTGGTTTGAATTTTCTTATTAAAGCATGTTTGTTTTTACATTTCAAAAATGCTTTTAAAAAATATTAATTTTTTTATTTTTTCTTCATTTTAAATTAATATTTTTCTTAATGTTTTACCCCATAAGCCATATCTAAGGCTATTCGATTTGGCTCCCCAAGCAGACCCAAGGTTATTGGGTTTGGCTCGGCAACATACCTAATAGCATTAGGTCTGACTTTTACGTCGAACCCAAGGATATTGGGTTTGGCTCCGCAACCAGCTTAAGACATTGAAAATCATGTTTTATATTTTTTTAGACTTGAAATAAAAATTATTATTAACCTGTTGTATTGCGGTGCACAAGTCAATATGCTAGTTATACTTGTAAGGATTCATTTTGATCTTTATGTTAAGGATTTTCCGATATAAACCCTATTTTAACAAAAACTTTTTAAGCAACTACTAATAATTAACAAAACTTAAAAAGCCTTAGAAAAATATTTTCACTTCTAGTGAAAATATTGTTCACTTTTAAGCAACTACAAGATTTTGTTCTTTCCACCAAAAATTATTGAAATTGTTGCAGGGATGGTAAGGTTTTTTTTGCAAGTTCCCTCTGTCATAATCAAATTCATCAAGAATTAATAGGGTTTTTTTGCATTTTAAATTTGTAAAGAAACAATCAAAATACTATTAAAAGCAAAATTTATAAATTGGCATCCAAAGTTTTTTTTGTATTTTCATACTTGTTTTTTTCTGTTATTGTTAAACTGACTAAAGGACAATTTAATATTTTAATAAATATAAAATTTAAATAAAAAAGTGGTTCACTTGTATGGTAGTGCTTGTTGGTGACCAAACACTAGGAATAAAAAAGTGGTTCACTTGTGTGGTAGTGCTTGTTGGTGACCAAACACTAGCCTTCATCATGTTATTGAAAGTGTCGTATTATCATCTTTCTTTTAGGATATCATGTAATAATGCTAGAGAGGTGGTATAATACTGGTGACATTGTTTTTCTTCTCGTTCCACTTTTTGCTATCATCCACTTGAAAATTATATTAGCCATACAAAAATTCAAAGTTGTCTTTTTATTTATTATGAGGTTAAATTTCATTTTTATTCTTTTGATTTTTAATTTTTTTTGTCTCTTCTATAAAATTTTAATTTGTTTTCATATTCATTATTTCATCCCAATTTGTGATATGTGATATTTTTTAATTTGATTTTTATTCTTTTAATTGTGTTATATTTTTAGTCTTTTATTAAATTGATTTTTCTTTTCAATTTTACACTTCAATTAAAAATTTATTTTGATTTTGTATTTCAATTTTGATCCTTATTCTTTTAATTTTTTTATCCTTTAGTTAAATTGATTTTTCTTTTCTATTTCAACCTTCAATAAAAAATGAGTTGACATCACTTTTACATTTTTTCTTTTTAGCTTTCTGATTAGTACTTAAAAGTACATTTTTATCATGGTTTTATATCATCATTTTGCACTTGAAGTATCAATAACTCCTTAACTAAAATATGTTTTATAATAATGTATCTAATAATATAAGATACCTATAATTTGTGGTAAATGTCTATTTTTAATGCAGGTCTATCACATAAATGAAAGGATTGATTGATGACTTGAAGAACTTAAATTGCAAGGATAAAGAGATGGCCAAACTTAGAAAAGAGATGTCGGTGCAATCCAAACTGGAACACTATTCGGTAATTGGGTCATATTTGGAGCTACAGATCTCAAATTTAGGTCCAATTTATATGGATGGAAAGGTAAGACATAGACCTACAACTTTCATATGGAGCCCAAGATCTAAAAAGGCCATCATCAAGTCCAAATTGTAGCAACAACAAAGAAGCCCGAATTTGTCTTCCAGCCCGAGCACTGTTCGGTATTTTGGCCATATCTGGAGTTCTAGAAGTCCAAATGAGCTGAATGTTTTACACAAGAAAGCTGAGACAATTGCCTACAACTTTCATGTTTGCAACTGGCTCCAATTTGGACGTTATCAATGACGTTTTGGGCAGACAAGAGAAGATAAGGATTGTCACCAAGTCAAAAGTTGGTCACCCACTTATCAATTAGTCATCAAATCAATAGTTCCCAATTTTGGCCTATAAAAGGAGGCATTTGCCATGCATTTAGGCATCTTGGTTTCCAGATCAAGATCATGCTCTTCCTTTCTCTCTTTGTATTTTTTATGCTTTGTTTTCATTAATATTAAGTTTATGCCTTTCATTTCCTTTCCTTTACTTAGTTAACTTTTATGTTCTTATTTTGTTTATCTATTTTGCTTTCTTTCATTATGTCTAGCTAAGTTAATTATGTCAAGGTGAAAAGGTTACACTAATGGTGTAAGAATAAGTATAATGTAAACTTAATATGGACTTTAATGTTTGATACTAACATGTTTTATATTTGTTATCTTGTTCACTCTTTAATACTTTGCTTGTTAAATGTCTAATCTTGATTTATGTTGTATAACACTTGGTACAACAAATGCTTGGCACTTTCATAGCCCATAATGTATGGTATAACCGACACCTGAGCTATGAAAGGAACTTGATTTGTTGTTAACATAAGTTATAATCATGAATGCTTGACGAGATTTACAAGTATTAGCATTAATTGAATAAGATGACTAATGTAATCATGTTAACAATATATAATCTAATTGGAACCTCCTTTGTGTGTGGTTTCCAATTCAATAATAAGAGTTTATACTATACTTGTTTGATATACCATTAGTGGAACCTCTAACCTTGACATTTGTTATTATTATTGTTTAATCCTTACATTAATATTTCATCTCTAAGTTCTCATCATCATCATCTTCTTCTTCTTCTCTTTCTTTATTATTATTATTATTATTATTATTATTATTATTATTATTAGTACTATTATTATTATTATTATTATTATTATTATTATTATTATTATTATTATTATTATTATTACTATTGTTGTTGTTGTTATTGTTGTTTTATAATTGTTGTTTATAATTTGTACAATTAACCTCCCTGTGGTTATTAATATTATTATTATTATTATTATTGTTGTTGTTGTTGTTGTTGTTGTTGTTGTTATTGTTGTTGTTGTTGTTGTTATTGTTATTGTTATTGTTGTTGTATTATTGTTATTTATAATTTGTACAAATAACCTCCCTGTGGTTCGACCCCGGTCTTGCCGGGTTATTTATTACTTCGACACTCCTGCACTTGGGAGAAGACATCAATCTTTTAGTCGTGGGAGAAGACATCAATCTTTTCACTCCTGCACTTGGGAGAAGACATCAATCTTTTCGTCGTGTCACTTTCATCATTAGATATTTTTTTAAAAAAAAAACAAGGGCTTTATGATTATCTTTGTTTTCATTTCTCATGACTTGGGCTGCAACTTCATTAACTAGGGTTGATTTGTCCTTTATTACTTAAGTTACAAATTTGTTATGCTAAATCGGGTTGATTTAGACCAGGTATGTTTTTCCACTTTTTACTCAATTTTGTCCTTCCATATGTAATCAGCTACATTGTTTGTCTCCTTTTGGAAAAATATTTTCTCTCAGGTTATAATAATAACTGACACAACTAAAAGATTAATGTCTTCTCCTAAGTGCAGGAGTGTCGAAGTAATAAATAACCTGGCAAGACCGGGGTCGAACCACAGGGAGGTTAATTGTACAAATTATAAAAAACAATAATACAACAACAATAATAATAACACCAACAACAACAATAATAATAATAACAATAATAATAATAATAATAAAGAAAAAGAATGAGAAGAAAATATTTGAAATATTTGATCAGAACAATATTTGAATAAATAAGGGTCATCCCAATAAAAGTTCTTCACTTCGTTTAAGAACTTTCTTTTGTCTTGAGTGCCCCAATGCGCTGGCAAATGTCCTGAAACAAGAAAATTAACAATATTAGCAAACCAAGGCATTGTAGTGACAGAAAGTAAAGATTCATCAGGAAAGTAGTTATCGATTGGTGTGATGTCAGATTTCGAATCAGTTGCCAATCTTGACAAATGATCTGCGACAACATTTTCGGTGCCTTTCTTATCCTTGATTGTGATATCGAATTCTTGAAGTAACAAAATCCACCGTACCAATCTAGCTTTAGAATCCTTCTTAGAAAGAAG